AGAGGGAACCGTCCCGCCCCGACAGTCTACAATTCAGGCGGTGCGTAACGGCCGGCGCAGGATGTTCGACTTTACACCGCTATTAGGTACTAGAAAAGTTGTGAACAGATTTTCTTATTTCTTGCACAAGAAGATCCGCAATTTAATTCTGAACACGTAGCCAAAATTTTACATTAATTATATGTCGCCGAGTTATTGGCGAAAAACATGAGGGGTGGGCGAAATTCGCCTTACACACCCCCCCCCCCTTCCACTGCGCATGTTAATAGGAACAACTTATAACTCATTAACAATTAATATGTTTTATATAAATGTATACATAGCATATATTATACATAAATATATAAAAATACATTTATTTTGTGAATATTCACTGGTCAACCCAGGCTGGTGGTCATTTGGAGTATTTCAACTCCCATAAAGCTGGGAATTAAAAATATGTCGGTTCTAGCAAAGAAAAACAAAAATGCCACTTTAATTTGGAAAATTGTTTTTCACTGCACAGCAAGGCCAGAGGATATGATATACAGGGATCTTTTTTTTAATTTGGAGAATATTTTTTGGAATGTACCCCATCCAGCATCTCAAGTCACTTATCTGCCTGGATCTGTGAACCAATAAGCACTGTATCTCACCTCATTGTTATGGGCTTTCCTTCTGCTTGCTTGCCTCCTTCAAACCTAAAACAAAGCAATGGGTATCATCATTAAGGTACTTAGGAATAGAAGGTATCATTTACTCTGCATCACTAGTTATTCTAGACCTATCTGCTTCCTAGGTAGATTTGGATTTTTATGTGGTTATTAACCGACAGCTTGTTGCAATGAATTCCAAATTGCATACATAAGCATATACAATGGCAAAAAAGGGGAAAGGAAGCTTGGACTTTTGGAACAAACTGTCAAAATTTCAGAGCAAAATTACTTGCTCCAAAATTCTGATGCACAAGAGCCCCTGAGAAGTCTGGCCTAGTGCATAGATATTTTCCAATCTGAATGCAACCTCTAGGACATGCCTGCAAAGGCTCATGATGGGCACACCCAGCCCTTGATGAGCCTACTACAGTGAATCCTGGTCCACTGAAAAGATTGTGGACCCCTTCTTTTTCACCAGGAGCACCAGGCCAATCAGCATTAGGCAAAGCCAGACCTCATTGGCATATTTTTGCTAGCATTTGCTGGGGCTGCTTGTGGTGGAATTGAAGCAGAATTGGTATTAGCATAAAATTTGGGTATCAGTAGAGCTGACGACACTGTCGGTGCTAGCCGGTAATTGTGTCACTTAAATCTATCTAACCTGGGCTCTGTTCGGTCACTGTTTTTATAACATCGTGCTGTCGGTTTTCCCCATATAAGGAAGTTATTGCTGGCGCGGCTTGGCCTCTCATTGGTCTAACGAATAGACTACTTGAATTCGACCAATGAGGTGCCAAGAAGTAGCAGCATGGTCGCAGCCTGCTGATAAATAAACAGGGTGCGAACAGAGCTCCGACCTAACCAAATATTTACCCAATCCAGAATCCCCACACACACACCACCCCTGAAGAAATGCCTAAAAAAAAAATGGAAAATACACCCCAGCCACCATCAAAACCACATTGACAAAAATTATCTAAAAACGTATATGCTGTGCGAAAAATTTTTGATATTGATATGGAAACGTCTACAATGCTCCCTAAGCTGGAAAATAAGGCATTACAACAAAATTCAAGAAGGAACCTACCTTAAGCATCGAACAACTACACTCCCTAGATGAGAACTCTGATACAAAAACGTCTTAAAATGAATTATATCATCAAGTCCGAACAGTCAACACCGAAATATGCAAATGCGACGCGCTACTTCTCGACGCCCACGCCATATTTGATTATGGAACCCAATAAGACAGTTTCAGTTTAAAATATCTTGATTATTGACGTCATCAGTTATTTACGATAAGTGCTTCGTTTTGAATGTTTTTTTTTTTTGCAATTTTTATCACGCCTAATCAAATGTTTGGAATAGAGAACTTTAGAGTGTCAAGCAGTTCAGTGGCCAATCAAGCATCATTTAAAAAAAATTAATTTCAACATGAAACATCCCTGCAAGCAGGATGCCCATTGGCAAAGTAAATGGTCCTATGACATCAGCAATTCTCTTTCGAAATTTTGTCTTGGGTATACTTTTTCCACGATGCCGCCAAATCAAGGCCCAGGCATCAAAAGCATAAGCGAGGATTCTCCTGACGTCACTGGTACAAACGGTCGAACGATCCTGCGGAAAATGATCACATTTTTAAAAAATGCATCGCTGTATCATAACTAAGCTCAAAAGAAGACAAACAAGAAATCTAGTTGGTTCTTGGACACTTTTTAAGCATGAGTAGAGCTCTGCATCAGCACTATGCGTTTGTCAAGCCAGGAGCTGCCAGTCTGCACTTGGTGAAACGGGGGCGCCGGCCAATCAGCATGCTGTAATTTTGTGACGTCATTGGGCATACCCTGAAGCGCTACTGAGATCATCCGCGATGCCTAGTCATCCGCGATCATCATATCATGCGGCCTTGATCATATCTGTTGGAGACGTGGCTGGACTCCGCCAAGGCTCTGGGGATCTTTTGTGACCTGCTGCTGGTGAGGAGACATCGAGACGTGTCCGACAGTGCAAAGCTATCGTGGTACCAGAACTTACATCTAAATCTGTCATCATGGTTGCAGAAGCTTCCAACTTCAAGTCAAAAGAAATATTTGACAAGATGGGAGAAGTCTTGAAGACTGATGGATCTGCACTTGTTAAAAAGATGAAGGCCGTGTTCGCCTTCTCCGTAAAGAACAGCGACGGCCAGACGGCCGTCTGGACCGTGGATGTCAAAAACGGCAACGGATCTGTGGAGTTTGGCACCGACAAAAAGGCCGATGTAACGCTGACACTCTCCGACGTCGACTTGGTCGATCTGATGCTGGGCAAACTGGACGCCCAGAAGGCCTTCTTCCAGGGAAAACTGAAGATCAAGGGCAACATGGGCCTCGCAATGCGCCTCAAGGCCTTCCAAAGTGAGATGGATAAATACAAGGCTAAACTGTGATGTGGGACGAGCTCAAAGGAAAACTGCTTTTACATGACGACTGTGGACGGGACGATACGATAAGACGTGCAACACAAATCTGCAATCACCAGTGTCTGTATGATCGTGTGTCGTGTATGTTAATCGAGCTATATGTGTGGCTGCCAGAGCCACCCAACGCCTGTTGACCTTGTACACTGTGGTGTAGCGGTGATAATCAGCTTTTGTATATCTGTGCCGTGTTGGCTGCGGTTGGTGGTGCGGTACTGGTGGTCGACGGCGAACCGTCTTGTTACATTTAGTCGCGATGGGGACGGACGTCTGTACTCCTGGACTTTTCCGCAGGGAGGACGGAGGCAGGAGCCTATAGTAGCCTTGGGGAGGACTTGTCCGAGCGGAGTAGATTGGAATGTGCCGATCTGCATGCTCATGCAATGCACATATTGAAAATATAATCGTACCAAAGGGTGTGTAAAGAAAGATGCTGCTTATCGATTGATTGTTCCAATCCTAACAATGTGTGGTTAAATTTTTATGCAATGACGAGTATGATAATGCGATTTTCACCAGGCTGCGTCCAGCGAAACGTCCCACGCCTTTGGCTTTCCGTGACCTCACTGCGAGAGCGCGCCACGAGACTGTCCCGCAATAATGGCTCTGGCCTCTGACTGAGGCCTTCGTAATGGATCTCAGGGAACTCATGTCATGGTTCTGAGGGCCCCCACAGTCACAGTGGCTCTGAGGGCCCCACAATGGTTCCGAGGGACCCCGCAATGGTCCCCGCAAATTCCGAGGGACCATCATGGCTCTAAGGGCCCCAAGGATCACACATTTGTGGCCTCGAGAGCCCCACAACAACCCCAATGGCCCCACAGTGGCTCTGGGCCTGTCGCTGACTTGGCGGCCTAATACTCACGGCTGATAAGCGATATACCCCACGACAGCCTCCAGGCGGGCTTATACATAAAAGAGTCTCACACCACAAAATGGCCGTGCTCTTGTTCTGGCTCGGCTCCGGGAGGGGGGGGGGGGAGCATGTCGGCTTCTGAGGGTCGCCACGGCCCACATAGAACCCTGGCGGACCCCTTGAGCCCCTGAGGACATGCGTGGAGAATTGTTCTGAGTTTGTGGCTTTACGGTTCCCCTAGACCCACAACTCCTTACATTTCTCCATCTGTGCCTGAGCAATGCCCGAGGACTCCCATGCCGCCCTCTGGGCTCTGAGGTTTTTATGCGGCTTTGCTCTGAGGACTGAGGGCGACCACGCCGGCCTATGCCTTACGATAATAGTGGTTTATAGCTCTTATACGGCCTTGGTTTATAGTATGAATAGGTATACCTACCCTCATTGAAGAACTGCGCCGATCTGGGAAGGCTCGGAACTGGCAGCCACCACAATAAATGGCGAGGGAGATTTCACTACGGTGGACATTCGGAAACGGTCACGGCCTTTGCATTTTGCGTACTCCAGTACTAACAACAGCGATTAGCAACTAGAGCGAAGCCAGTAATTGACTATAATCTCGGGGTGTATGCAATAGCCAAGACCTCTACACCGGTGAGAACGGAGGTCTATGGGCAATGGGCATGCATAACTCATAAGTCGTGTAAAATTGCAATCAATAACGAAAATCGCCTGTTTTGGCGTTTGATAAGGCAGCTGTGGCCTTTGGTAGACTGTGAAATCAAGGCGACCTCGCGATAGTCGGGCTCCGGCTGTCTCCCGTCGCTCCCGTGATCCAGATACGGAGCTAAAACTTGTCTCGTGTTGTCTCGACCTTCAATATACCCCGGTCTCGGCCGTCTCAGCCAATCCGACGCTTCCGTAAACGGCGAAACATTATGGTAACGGCTCCCTTATGGTGAAGGCGCAAAATGATGGATTATTTGCGTTCGAGATAGCATTTACATTCCTCAGCTCTTGCCTCAGTTTGTGTTTCTAAGTTCTAACACATTACTAGGGATTTATACCTATTTTATTACGATAAAATATAGTACGTTCACTTTCTCGTATCTGAAAAGCAGCATATGAAACGGAAAATACAGGTGAAAGGCGACAAATAAGTAGTCTAAATTGCAATTTATAATTGCAGATATGGACAACTTTTCGGTATGGATACATCACGTGAAAACACATTTGCTTGATGATGCGAGTGATCTCGAGTTTCCTTAGAGATCCTTCTGACGGAGGAGAGACCAGCACATGCCATGTTTGCGCGGCGCGCTGGGGGGCGACGCCGCTCGAGCGGCCGGCCAGCTTCCCCGCGGGACCAGGCCGGTCGCTCGGTGCCCCGCTCGACAGGACGTCTACAGGTGGTAGCCGGCGTAGCCGAGGCCGCTGTAGGTGATGGGCGCCGCGGCGCTGTAGGCGATCGGCGCGGGACCCTCCACACTGACGGAGCGGACGATCGGCGCGCCCTGCGAGTAGCTGACACCCACCGCTCGGCGCACGTTGGACACCACCGGGTTGATGGCGGCGTACGCATGCGCCTCGTCGGAGCGGTAGGCGAAGTTGCCGCCGAACCGGTGGCTCTGGATGGTGGCAGAGTCGTGGCTGGGGGCGCGCAGCAGCGTGCTGGCGGAGGCCGCGGCCAGGCAGGCGAAAAACACAACCTGCCGGCATAGAGAGAACACGGTCAAAGGGCGAGCCATGTGCGAACATCAACAACGGTGGACCGTAAGTTTCGGAAACGTACGAAAGGTGATGACAAATCATTTCACTTTGGGCACTTGACGAGACACAGAAGCTTTGGCGATCGTAAAATTGACACGTGTATTTGGTGTTACTTGAACTTATGTCACTGTGTCGACAGTCGCGGCGTATGTCTCGGAAGGAGACGTCTGATTTTGTTTCACCAATTTTACTCACCATCTTCATGTTGCTGGCTTGGAGGGTTGTCGGAGCGTCGACGGACAGAAGAGAAGTGAATGTCAGCTAGCCTCGTCTTACCTGTTTTATACCCGTCCACATCAACACGCCCAGCATCCAAACAGACGCGTGCCCTTCTTGACCGCAGTCTCTCCACCTCACCACCATTACCACGCCCTGCGCGACGTGCAAGAAGGGTTCGTGTCCCGCTGGGGCGTGGCCGCTGCGGCTGCGGCCAGGGCCATCGACTCGCGGCTGACACCAGGATGTGATGAGTGCGATGCCGGTGGTCAATCGCAGCCGGTCTGCGCGTGGACCCGCCCCCTAGCCCCCACGCCGGCTGGACCCGCCTCGTTAGTCGTTAGACAATGGCTCTACTCGAATGCCGATGCCGAGCCAGTGGCTCAGCCACATCAGACCTCAGCACGAATTGAAGAAAAGCACCCTTCGAATGGCTCATTCTGATAAAATGGCTTGAACTCTATTTGGGATGTTCATAGTGGTCAGAAACTAACAATAATGAAATGCTAAATGCAATCTTATTCAAACAGAACAACAAAAGTCAAAACGAACTTATAAATAACCTAAAGAACGATTCATTTTTTATCACACATGCCTAAGATGTTCTGAGTAGTGTAAAACCAAAGTTGGCGACCCATGGCATCCATACATGCACACATTATGATACGCTCCTGCTCCTGTGCTGTTGCCTGTAGGCCTGTCGACTGCTTAGCGGCACAGTGCGTGGTGACAAGTCACATTCTCAGCGTCACAGGCACACGGAATGTCACTACGATGGGCCCGTCACCATGCCTGATAACGAGGCCCGCATAGGAATTACCGACTCTCCAAGTGTTTCCCAACTCGACTCCGTAGCCCTTAGACGTCTGGGCTAATGATAACGCGCCTATCGTACGTTGTGAACGAAAAATATATCGTGGATTATACAAGGTACTATCCAACTACATAGACGTCGCCGCGTTACACATTGATTGCGTCTTACTCCATCATTCACCCGAATTTAGACAGCACTTAATAACAAAACCCTCCTCAGCTTTTGGTACCATTGTGGACCTAAGCCAAAGGCTTCGTCAGATATCCGTCACAGAACTGTCGGCCAGTGCCGGGTGCGAATGAGGCCGTAGCAGGAACGCGCTGGGTGCCAGTTTTTCTCGCCGCGCGCCGCGCGAGGTCGGCCGGTGTCCGTTGGCTCGTCAACTGCAGGGCGGAGCTCGCGCGATCGTACCGTTCACCGTTCCCGCTCGGTGCTCGAAACGAGATTAGTTTGTGACGGCTGTCGCTGGGCGGCTATCAGTTGTTATCTTAGTGACCCAGTCATCGAAGAATAGGAGCAGTCGGGATGGAGGTAACGCGCTGTTGAGCCTGATATTGTCGGACAAAACATTTTTGCAATGGCTTATGATCATACCAGAAATTAAACAATATTATTATTTGAGTCATCGAATGGATCTATTGATGGAAAAACACATTGCTCGTCCTCACACACAGTCACGGCACCGCACCACGTCCCGGTGCGGCGCTATATCGAGATCGGAGGGCGCGTCCCTTTGGCAGTGGGCAGCTGTCTCACCCTGGGTGGCGCACCTCTCACACACGCCTGAGATCCTTCACCGGCCGGCCGGTGTCCCGAAACTGACCCCGCGCCACCCGCCACGCTACAGACACGTGCCCTAGTCGTACAGCGTGGTCACGGGATCACACAGCACACTGCACAGATATACACACAGTGAGGTACGCGCACAACCTACACACACCGACCGTACGCAGCGAGTGAAATATGTAAAACTCGACTCACGTCCGACACGCCGGGCCGTTTGTTCACCTGCATTGTAATTCGTTCAAAAAGTTACCAAGCTGGCCACTATGACTGGAGTTGAACAAGATTCCTACATGCTTCAAAAAGCTGTTTTTCCTGGCTCCACCGATCGCAGGAACTCGTGTCCTGCTGCTGCTCTGTACCGATACTGGAAGGTCTAGGGAGTCGACCTCACGCTCACGCAAACACAGTCGTCCACGCTAATTCATGCTCACTTTCTGACGTACTAAACCATCAGCCCCTCAGACATGCCGCACTAGACACCTCGCAGCTCCATAAGCAAGCCTATCAAAGACTCAACCACACCACACCCTCGTAAAGTCACATACTTTTCTTTCAGGACCAGCTCAGGCAGACGTCTCACTCTTCCCTATTCTCTTCCCAGGACCATCCTCAGAACACCCTCGTTTTGCTCTGCCACCGGGACCCTCAGCGAACAAATGAACGAAATACGACGAATGGTAAAATGGAGAAAACGAGCGGGCGGAGCATCTTTACTGAGTCAAAAACCCCGCCCGTCCACATCAGTATGAATGATTGCACAGGCTATGAACATTGCCGGACGGGCAGTCGTCATATACTCAGTCACCTGGCCACACACTCCGGATCATACCGAACGCAATAGAGGTCCTCTCAGTCGCAGAGCGGCAGCGGAACACTGGACAGCAAAGTCATACGGCCAATAAACCGTTAAAGCGAGATATGAACGTTAAAACCCCTCCCATCCCACACTCACACGCGCGCACAATATGCACGGCCTGTGTCACCTACCGGAGCTGACAAGACTTGCCTGAATCTCGGATTCCGAGAGCGACTCCGAGCGCGGGCCGCTGGCTGAAAGAGTCCGCCGCACGAGCGTGCCGGACGCGGTCACCGTCCGCGGCCGACCGGCAGTAAAGGGACCGGTCGGCGGAGCGCCGAGTCAGGCGGCTCGCTGCTGACGGTGTCCGGGGGCGCGCGCGGGGCATATCACAGAGGAGGGCCGGCGCCGGCGGCCGGCTGAGGTCCGCAGAGGGGTGGGGGAGGCGCGGCGCCGCCGGCCTCAGCCGTCCACCGGCGGGCCCAGGTACACCATGGACACCTCAGTGTTGCCGTACACGGCTGAGACGGACGGGTAGAGGCGCCGGTCCGGCAGACCTGCCGACAAGGGGGGACGATACGGTCAGCACTTCCTACCGTGGGGGACAAGAAGGTAAAATTGACCGACAACGAGAACGATCTGGGTAAAAATAACGCACATAGCCTACGATGCAACAATACCGAATGAAAGACGGACAACGAAGTGAAAGAATCTAACTTGTTCGGACGATATGCAACGTTAAAAACAATATGGCATAACTTACAATTAGCGAGTGACCTGGGCCCTGTTTCTTGGCACGCCGCTATAGTGCGCTACGCTGCGCTACAGTATTGGTGCGGCGTTTGCGGCGAATTCGCCGCGACGCTTCAGCGTTACGAACGTCCGAGTTTGTTGATGTTTACACCGCTACGCGTAGCGCACTGTAGCGCAGCGCCTTGAAACGAGTCCAGAAAGCAATACCAATGCGCAACTGCATGTTACAAACGAGCGAAATAAAAATGAACGTCAATGGACATACCAAATAATGACAGGAGAAAGTAGCTTACACTCTTTGACAAAGCGTCGAAGCAATCAAATCATTCTCACCTCTAAACGCCACACCCAGGAACTCGTAGCTGCGTTCGAACGACAGCGTGTTATCATCGCAGTCTAGGATGACCCGGATCCTTTCCCCGACCTGAGGACAAGATAAAGACGGCACGGGGTCACTTCACCGGTACCGATTTCGCGGCCAAAGATAGATGGGGTGGCAGTGAGTCGGCGAAAGCGATTTTTATTGAAACATTTCGTGAACGATTGACGCGTCTGGGACATTTCTAACTAGTAACCTCGTTCATCGGAGATTCCACGTTAATGGAATACAAACACGCATCGTTACCATTCCAAAGTCTATGATTCAACCACAGCATCTGACACTAGCGAGCAGGGAACATTGTGCTGACACATGGGGATTGCAGCTCGTCGTCGCGTGGCAAATTTGTAAATGGGTTTCAAATGAATTCATAGAACACTCAAAACACGACGATCGGTGACAGCTGTCGCGACAGACAGCGTTGGCAGTACCTAAATTTGGTCGATGATAAAGATACCATAATTCAACATTGTTTCATGCATGGTAAACGGTGAAATAATTTCATCGACATAGATATCAGTCAATCTCAAATTACTTGTCTTCACCTGCTTCTCGTTTATCAACGTGTCCCGTCGTGTACCGTCCACCACTTTCCCCACGGTTCATCGTGTTTCAGCCCAACTCCCCCGAGCCAAAAGTTGTCCCCCACCTCCCAGCCTGACCTGGTACTTTGGCGCGTTGTTGAGCCGCGGGTAGGTGCCGAGGGCGTCTCCGTTGTGCAGCAGGTGATTGTCCACCAGGTTCCAGCCCCAGCTGTGGGCGTCCGAGCCGAGCAGTGGCAGGTAGCCGTGGCACTGCAGGCTCGCCTCGCTGGTGGCCACGCCGACCACGGCCACCGTGCCCAGCGGCCCCTCCCACACCACCTCCCAGGCGTGCCGGCCGTGGCAGAAGCCGCGCTTGCCCCGCGACGCGTCCGTGCTCTGCGCCACCGGGTTGCGGTGCAGCGTGAAGCCGTTCGGCTTGATGTAGATGTTGCGCGAGCTGTCGGCCGGGTTCCAGGCGTGGCAGAAGGCGCGCAGCTTGGCCTTGTAGGTGGGCACAGAGCAGAGCAGGTCGGAGCGGAGTGCCTCCTCTGCCAGCTGCCGCTCGCATGGCAGCCGCCACACCTCGTTGTTCTCGTCATTGAGGAAGTGGTACCAGAGCTTGCAGACGAGTGCACAGTTGCGCAGATCCTGCAGACTCAGATAGGAGAAGATCTGCTCGAGTGTCTGCTCTGGTAGCCGCAGCCAGAATGACTGGCCTTTTACAGGCTTTGATTTCTGAGTCCTGAGAGACATTAGGTGGCACATGAAGTGGCCACTGGAGAGCACTACACAATGCTCAGGCTTGCACAGCACAAGGTGCACTGCATGGCAGCTTTATGCTACTGCACTGGGGCAGTAAATAGAGCCAGCTGCTTTAATGTGTCTAAGAGTTGCTGTTCAAACAACTCAGCTGCACTCCATCACAAACACTGGCAGTCTGCCAAATGCATGATGCCTCTGAAACAGAAATTCAAGAGATAAATTAGTACCTCATTACCTCATATCTGATACAAAGCACATAAAAGTCATACACCATAGGCATCATTGCTCATAGGTAGGTTAGGACTAGGTAAGGAGTTAGGCCAAATGTCCACCACTTACTGCTGATATGTACCTATGGCATATTAACGTAACAAATAGCAGATCCCATTTCCCAAGGCTGGTCACAATGTTTAAACTAAGAATGCTGCTGTATATGCCATTGAATCTTCCCATGCAGATAATATCTCACCACTGGTGGGCTTCAAACCTGCTATCTCAAATCTCAATCTTGTCAGAGATCAACACACAGGTACCTATAATGTATGATCATTGCACTCCTGCAAATTGCTGTCATTGAATGAAAACACTGCATCAGAAGTTGAAGTAGCTTTGTAGTTTGTGAAGTAATTAACTGGCAGCCATAAGTCATCTCAAAGTCACGACCCGTCACAGTGGCTGTTAGGGCCTAGGGGGAAGTGGCCCAAGAGCATGTATTTACTATTTGGACTGGAGATTGCAACACAAATTATGGCACTTTTCAATGATATTATTTTCAATTCTTGTAGCTTTTAGAATGTAGGATGCTAATTGCTGAAGCTTCGGTAATATTTTTTAAAAGTTGTATCCTTTTCATCCTTTTCGTAAGGCGGTGACACTCGTTGCTATTGCACAATATGCCCAGAGCACACCTCTCAGCTCTATTTACACGAAGTAGGTATGACGACCATGTACCAAATCTTGCCTATGTGCATGCATGAACCCTAGGTAGGTACCTACTACAAATAAGCATATGCATGGAATAGGTGATAAAATGGTATCGGTAAAGCTGGCGTTACCATCAGTGGTAGGTAGGTTAGTTGTAAGTTGGTAGATTGTAGGTTTGTAGGTTGGTTGGCTGTAGGTTAGTAGGTAAGGTTAGGTCAGGTTAGATTATGTTTTTTACTCTAACTTCATCTACGCAGTCGCATATACTGGTTAGCAGCAACGGTGATGCAAGCTTTACAGATACCATAAAAATGACAGATGGAACTCTGGGTCTCTGAACTCTTTCATAAAAAACATAAAATTGTGAGCAGAAATGAAAATAAATGGCAATAAGCAGCTCCATCCAATGCATTATAAAGATGAAAACTTAATACGACCAATTACGTGGCATAAGTAAGGACAATTCATTATGATTAGGCAACAATCTTCATACCTATCAAAATTTCACTAAATATTATCCAACTGTGAAACCACAATCATAGAGGGATATAAATGTACGGGAAATGAGAAAAAAATCGGGGTATAATCCATAACACTCAAATTATCTCTCACTCACAATGGCTCTCCAATAGACATTCAGCTTTCTGACGACTTCACCTTTGCTAGCAGTAATTGTTGCGAACGAACAAAAGCATCGTAAGCAATGGCTCTAAAAGCATGGGTTGTAGAAAGACCATGTTTTAAAAAATGCTCGCAGGTACGAATTGCTAGTCAATCCCTCGGCACACACAACAGAATACTAAATTGTTTGTCGTGCTTAAAAACTATAAAACGACTTTGTATATTCCTCAGTTTTCCTTTTCTGAAGTAAATGAGTTATTGCATTCATGATTGTTCATCAAAAGACAAAAATTTTAATTCATTTGATCAGACTCAACCCAATGGTAAGCACTTAGCAGAGCTTTGTTCGTACTGCACAGTGCGTCATCAACATCTACCCTATTTTTGAAGAACCTAGTAAGTGTCAAGGTGACGAAACGGAGAAAAACGAGGAAACGTTAACGTGTGCTAGCCTAAGCAAATGCGCATAACATGCATCAACCTGAATAGTGTTTCTATATGTATTTTATGTGCGCAATTCAGAAATGCTATCCAAATTTTTCAAATGCTTACCGATAATGTAAATGTGGACTTGCTAGATTAGCTCAAGGCCCTATATACTAGGTAGAGTCATCCGGGGATTTCACGAAAAGCTGTGACGTCACACGTCCTCAGATCGCGTTGCCCCGTATCAAAACCGTAGAAATGGGTCACTTTCCGACGGCTGGTACAGAAAATCTAGGGGTGCTTGCAGTATTCTGTTTATACCAGCGAATAGGTCGTTTCAAGCTTTATCTTTTATCTACATACATTTTTTCTCTATCTTTTTCACATTTCTTGCTATAAGGTGATATCCTCGGCCCTGCTTTCGAATCTTCGCTCCGGCGCCGTCGGTGGCGGTCGCAGTAGCTCAGTTGCAGTGGTATGATATTCGCTTCCTACCCGGGCGATGCGGGTTCGATTCTAGTTCGTGGCGTAACTTTATCGCCTAGCGGTATGTACAACCTACGTTTACGAGACTAATTTATGCGCCTTTTTCAATTAACGCAGTCCGTTTCAAGCCTAATTTATTGCCCTATTGTACTCTTATTACTAAGTTCAGCGTACCTTAGTAAGGGATTTAACCCAGCATCTGAGGGAAGCGGCGAACGACGTTCTCCATACGCGATTTCCCATTTGAATCTGGCCCCTAGTTCATAAGATCCAACACCATGTCAATGTTTAATCAACATAATTTAAATTTTCAGAAAAGTCATGGGAGCTGCCGTATTACTACATCTAATATTTATACCAGCGACAGTGTGTTGTATCTATTATCTATATATCTATTATCTAATAATATAATATATTATGCTAATGCACCTAATTGAGTAGACTGTGGCGCAGCCCATCAACAGCAACAGTGTGTTGTAGGCATATCGTCTCGTGCCACGTATTTTCCGCAGCAGTTGATGTACACAATAAAATGGTAACCGTCATTATATAAATCAATAATATAGCATAATCAACACTGCACATCAGTACCTACACATTCATAGGACAGCACTAAGCCTGGCAATCACACTTGAATCTCCCGACTAGGCCAGGCACTCGGCTCCGGCGGACAAGTCACCCGCACAGACGCCCAATGGTCGCTAGTCACACCTCACGGCGCGTCGATAGGAGGGCAGCAATGAGTCTGGCTATCACACGCCGGTCAAAACTGACATTCAGATGTCTCAGCTTCTTCTACCACAGAACTACAGACACGCTGACGGACCCGTTTGGCTGCTCCCAGGCGACGACAGTTTCAGCAGCTTGCGCTTGATTCATGGGATCTGAGTCGGATATGCAGCCCGGTGCGAACCAGCTCCAACAGCCGCCGAACAATGCCCGGATCCAGGACCACAGACGGTCTACGATGATGCAGAAGAGCACCTCGAACGCCTCGCTCGATCACTGTCATTCCCTCCCACTTTAGCCAGACGTCCTCAGGTAGCTTCGGCACCGCCTTACCGGTGTCGGTCGCTGCGCCGTCGTCTCCAGCATACTCTCCGATGACCGGCGGTACTGTCGGCTGCAAGGTGACCGCCCGGAACGCCTCCTCCACCGCTGCCGTCAGCTCCACTAGACGGCGGACGCTGGAACTGGATCTGGAAAGGGAACGTTTGCATAGCTTTTAGCCTTTAGGGGCATTTAATCTTCTCAGTTCAGCAGTCAACTGAGGGAGCTGTTTGTGTGCGCGCATGCATGTCCGCATGCACATCACCATTATCGGTAATACGAAGCATATATTCATGTATTTTTTATATTTTCAAGCCCTGACCATGAGGCTATTTTTATGCCGTGGTCATAAAGTGTTCTAAAACATCATAATACAATAATGGAATACGAAAGGGTTATTAAAGGCATGCAATTTCATCGAAAAGCTTTATATGGGTCTACGTTTTCGAATTTTATCGATGAGTTATGTTATTATTACAAGTTATACCCACCGTACGGCGTACTGTCATAGCCGCCAAGCAGACTCACCTGTATTTGCAGAACCTCCAACGTTTCGTTGCCGAGGTTGTCACGCTCCAGCCGCTGACCAGTGCTGACAAACGCCGTGTCAGTCTCTAGGCGCACTGCGCGGGTCCAGCAGGACAAGGTGCTCGCAGAAGGCAGCGGAATCTTCAGCACACCAGCTTGAGCGTACTTGTAGCCTTTAAGCGGTGAGCGGAAGACGGCCAGATCAGCGGTAGTCTACCGCACGGCGTACTGTACGGCGTACATGGCTGGCTTACGGCGTAAGCCAGCCAAATGAGCGGCAGACAAGCCTGCAAGTGCACGATGAGCGGCAGACGAGCCAACCAGGCGAGCAGCAGACGGACAGGCGAGCGGCAGACGAGCCAACAAGGCGAACAGCAGACGAACAGGCGAGCGGCAGACGAGCCAACAAGGCGAGCAGCAGACGGACAGGCGAGCGGCAGGCAGGCTAGCCAGGTGAGCGGTACGTGAACAGTAGACAAGTCCGCCAGATCAGCGGCAGACAGGCCAGCCAGGCGAGCGGCAGACGGGCCAGACAGGCGAGCGGTGGACGGCCAGGCGAGCGGCAGACAACCCGGCCAGGTGAGCGGCAGATAAGTCAGCCAGGCGAGGGGTAGATGAGCAGTAGATGAGTCATCCTGGCGAGCGGCAGAGAACCAGATGAGTGGCCAGATGAGCAGAAGCGGAGCCAGCTATGTGAGCAGCAGCCGCTCAAGCCCGACATCCTGCTTCAGCACCTTCCACAACTAACAGAGCTAACATGAGCCGCCGAACAATGCCCGGGTTCCGGTCCGCAGATGGGCCCATGAGGATGCAGAAGAGCACATCGAACGCCTCCACCACGGACATCCAATGCTCTGACGGGCGACGGCACCATTAGCCCTCCTCTGCTCACCGACCGGATCCAACTCTGTGGGACACTGCTCGGTGGCGCCACACGCGTCGGCAGACCGAGGGATGGGTCGATATTTTGGCAGCTCGCTACCACATAACCAGCCACGAATGCCAGGCGTCCTCAGCAGCTGTAGCCCTCGCCTGCACAGTGTTGGTCGCCGCACCGCCGTCTTCAGCCTCCTCTGTGATACTGATGACCGGCGGCACTTTCGGCTGCAGGGTGACGGCCCGAAACTCCTCCTCCACCGCTGCCGTCAGCTCCGCTGGGCGTTGGATCTGAAAAAAGGAAAGTTTATTTAACTTTTAGCGGCACTTATTATTATTTTCTTGGTTCTACGGTGACGGGGGGGGGGGTCTTTTGTCTTCGCATGATTATTATTAAACACGCACAGTGCAAGGAGGGGGGGGGGCGAATACTGCCCACGCATCCTGTTTTTCGCAACTGACTCACGCTGCAATCATTATGTTAACATCACATCTTCAGTACCTGCCTCGAATTTAGATAGGTACGCATCTTGCTGTGAAAGCAATAAGTAAATCAGGCTACAACTTTTCTACCATCAGGGGTTTAAAATCAAGCAGTTTGACTATGACAGCGCCGGACGGTTCCGTCTTTGCTCTGCGCAGCTTATCGCTCCAACGAATCGGGTCAAATCTGTGTGAAAGCTTAGAAATGAGGATATTAGAATTGCTTTTAATGCGAATTTCATCTAACACAAGAGTGTGCCAACATTCCACTAACCTGCTGTCATCGTGTGGGTTCTTGATCCAGGTTTTGGTTGGCGTGACTCCCATCTGCTCCCACAGCTTTTCGTTGGAGGAGTGCATGTCACTCGTTGTCGCCACCACCGACAGACCGATGCTCTCGAGGCGGACAATGACGTGCACCAGCTCGCCTGGCGTCATGGCTGAGTCCAGCTGGTAGTACAGGGGCTGTTTCCACGGCGAGCAAAGTCCCCGCACCATCAGTAGCTGCAGCTTCGAACCGCGCAACACTTGGTCGGCGGTACTGTCGTAGCAGTAGCGGCTGTCGAGCGACATCTCATCGAAGCTGATGACGCACAGACGGTCCATGTCGCTCATGTCAGTCGTGATAGCCTCAAGGACGGAAGCAGCGGCGTCCATCACACCGGGTGTGACGCGGAACGCGCGGGTCCAGCGGGATAGGGTGCTCACAGAGGGCAGCGGGATCTTCAGCACACCTTGAGCGTACTTGTAGCCCCTGCGCGTGAGGCACCGCAGACCGAGGGCCTTGGACACGTCTCCAGGAGACCAGCGGATCCGGCGCCCTGTCGCCGCCTGGCGCACCTGATCAGTGATCACGGGACAGAACCCCGGACTCTAGAAGACGGTCCAGCTGTGATCCTTTTTCGGTGGCGATACGCAGGCGGCGCTGAAGGCGCGACCTCTTCTCGTTCCGCCACTTCCTGCTGAGCTTCCATAGGCGCTGTTGCATGTCATTCAGCTCCCCTTCCAGGCGCACTACTTGCTCAAGAGGAGTGGTTTCCTCGAAGACGATCACTGGACAATCAGGTCCAGGATCTGATCCAGGCCGTTCCGGAGCAGGTCCAGGATCGCCGGTCGGACTACCGCCGTCGCTGTCCCTGGAGGCGACAGAAAAACAGTGAATGTTAAAACTGTTATGTAATATTTAAATTTATAAATTCTCCCGTTATCCGGCATTGCGCGATTGGATGGTAGGGGTCGGGGTGTACGCAACAAGCTCTGCTTAGCATTAGCACCAGCTCAATATACCAGAATTGGACACCCAAAACATTTGAGAGGTACCACTGGCTGGACACCCGAGAATTGGACAATGAACGCATAGCTACCTATCATCGATACCTATTCAATGTTCAAAAGGTCAAACAGGCATATCTTGAGGGAATATAGTGGTAAAAAGCTAGATGATACAACAATGATACCTACAACAAAATGATACACCAATGATACAACAAATAGGCGCACTTATGTTTATTCCAGGAAAAGAAAACAACCCTTATTTTTGAAAACTTACTTTTAAAAGCACTTGACAAGATTTGCCTCTGCCAGATATGTTTCCAATGACGGGCTCTAGGTAGGTACTTTTTGAATTCCTTGAGCACCATATGAATTTACAAAACATTGCCTAAAGCTTGACTGTGAAAATCATAAAACTGTCGTTGTCAGTTTAGTCAAGCTGAAAAGTTTGTGCTACAACCCAATCTCACATCATAAGGTCAAAACAAATAGCATACCTCGACAGCTCTTGACCAGACCCTGCAGTGGTCAGCTCGTCACTCAGCTTCTTTGCAGCTGCAGCTGCAAACGCCCATCTCGCTGTGCAGATGTCACCTCTTGTCTCCTGCAAGGAAATAATGATTTAATGAAGCAAAACAAATAACAATGTAAAGAACACTTGATTCTGTCAGCAGATCTAGCAGAGAAATAGATATGTTAACTGAGTTCTGTATGATCGCAAGATGTCTAAAGTTACATTTAGGTCATAAGTGTCATAAGACAGATCTGAGCAAGCAAAAACTGAATACGTAAGGAAAATCGGGCAACAAATGTTCTTGTGAGGTCATTTCAAAAGCATAACATCTAAAAAAAGTGCTTATCAATTCATACATAAAAATATCAGTGCAAAGCGTAATGATGCTGATGCAGCCTGAAAATTTGCATTAAAAAGTCAAAGATAATACTAATTACCTACTCAGTACCTGCTATAAACATCAAGTGACAAATTTGTGAACTATGAACAATAATAAAACGTGAAATATCCTAATCGCATAGCGGACATTTCAGGTACACTCGGGGGCAGATTGATGTTCCACCTCTCCCTACCCATCGGGCTCCCATGGCTCAGCACTGGCTGCTCCCAGTGTTGCCTGTCATCAGCACTGGTCATCACTGCCTGCCAGTGCCAGTGCTGCCAGTGCTGCCACTGGCAGCAGCCAATGCTGAGCCATGGAAGCCCGATAGGTAGGGAGTGGTGGAACATCAATCTGCCCCCGAGTGTACCTACTGCCAGTTATTTGTGAAAAGTTGTTAGACTCGCCTATTTTGTTTTCCAACAAAGGATAAGTACCACCTGGACTCTGGAGAATACCTCATTGCGTCATTGATGCATCGCTTACACATCCTTCTTATTAGCTGGCTCAGCTATCAACTATCAGTTATCAGTTATCAGTTATACCCGCCTTGAGTTGATAATCATAGGTTAAGGTTTCATAGCCGGCCATACACACATGTTTTGGTATTATAGCTTTTTTGAGACATCTCATGAGATGCGAGATCTGTCGACACTAGCAACTTTTCTGGCAAAGTTCTCAGAAAAAGTGACTAAGTTTATTCTAAAAAGTGACCTACACGTTGGTACAGTCTCTGGTAACTAAGGAGGATTGCATACCAATGTAAATGATAATAAAAATGGGAAATTTTGAGTGGAATATAGAAAAGAAAACATCCAAACAAACATCCAGCAAATGATCACATCCATGATTGCCCATATTTTTAACCTGTTGTATGTTTTTGGTTTGCAGATTGTGTAACGGTTCAACTCACCTGTTGGGGTTCCCTACTTGCCGAGCGCAGCCATATGGGATAGTTCAGGATGAAATGAGCCTGAGGGACATTCTAGGTAGGGAACCCACAAGGAAGGAACTGTTGTGTTTTTGTTGGTTTGTAGGTTATGTTGGGTTATGTTAGGTTAGATTTGTTTTGTTTCTGATTTATTATTCTCCAGGTAGCACCTGTCCTTTGTTGGACAAATGAAACACGCATGGGCCGAGCATCTGAGACAAGACGACTGACAAAAATAATGAATGAAATCATTGAAATATACCTATGCAAAACTGTAAATTAAATGATATTCCATGCAGCTTGCCTGAAGGTTGATGACGACAATTTGATGGATGGTACTGCTCCAGCCTTCAGCTCAGTTGGGCAAACTAGACCTTTGGAATCAAAATATGGAGGCATCAAAAGATTGATTCTTTTTGGGCATAAATGCAGACCATTTCTAACTTACCAATCACATAAAAATAAGAGAGTGTTTCAAGAAGGAGCATGCCTGATCTTGAACAAAAATGCTTGAACTATCTCCTAAGCAAAATAATATTGCTCCTATCATAACAATTTGAATTCTATAGGTAGTGAAAGGCAATCAAGGAATTGATTCACTTTAAACAGATAATCATAATATTGATTCCCCATCAGCTGGCTAATCATTATTTTGATTCACAGGTAATGTTAACAGATAGGCAACAATGACTTGCAAGAATACAGCATTTATCTTGCTATTATTCTCATTTAGTGGTATCCTCAACACCACAACTGATACCTATAGCATTGTTGTACTTTACCTTCACTACATTTGATAACAATTCACAATTTATAAATGTCAAGAATACAAAAACTGAAGCAACAGGTAAAAACCATATAAATAATATAAAAGCACTACAACAATGATAATTAGGGGTTTAAAAATTTCATTTTGCCATTTTACACAAATAATGATTGGTTAGTATGTGATTCATGATACAAAAATAACATACAGTGTGATTTCCTCAAAACAGCTTTTACGTGATGGACAGTGGCTCTGTCTTTTTCCCATTCACAAGGCCAAAGGGACAATTTCTTAGCTTTGAGGTAACACTTTTTGCAAACCTACCACATTTTTCTACCTTTTAAAAGAAAAATCTCACCGTCATGGGCCTTTTTTCAACCGTAACGATACATTTGAAGTCAAAAGTGTACCCAAATGAATCAAAAAATTGATTCCATGCCCTTATTTGGTCATGGCTCCTCCCACCAGAATCAAATTATTGATGCCTCCATATTTTGATTCCAAAAGTCTAGTTTGCCCAACTGAGCTTGGGCTTCAACTTCACATTTGATGGCATGACAGATCGCTGAACTTTGAAGAAATCATCCAGGTCAGGTCATCAACCAAAAAATGTTTCCCACACACTCGGGCAGTCTTGACATTGATTTTGTCCTTTCTGGCCCACCTATGCATCCATTCTGATTTCAAGTTACTGATTTTGGGGAATGAAAAGAATGAGAGTCCTGGACTATTCCTAGAGTTGTTGAAACACTTTGAAACGGCGCAGTCAGTTGGGCAAACTAGACCTTTGGAATCAAAATATGGAGGCATCAAAAGATTGATTCCTTATGACCATATTTGGGCATAAATGCAGACCATTTCTAACTTACGAAACACATAAAAATAAGAGAGTGTTTCAAGAAGGAGCATGCCTGACCTTGAACAGAAATGCTGGAAGTATCTCCTAAGCAAAATAATGTTGCTCCTATCATAACAATTTGAATTCTATAGATTAGATTAGATTAGATTAGATTAGGGATAGTGGGCTGATTTAGGCAGGCTATTCAGTGCCCACATCGTAAGTACTTGGAGACTAGGTAATGATCAGGGATCAGACAGATAGGATAGCGTCACTGGTACCCATATTTCAACTTATCGAGCCGGTTCTTGAAAGCGTTTGTTGTTTCTGCCTCTACCACTTCTGATGGGAGGCTGTTCCAGAGAGGGACCACTCTGTTTGAGAAGAATTTTGCCCTTACTTTGGTCTTTACTCGGTTCACTTTGAGCTTCAAACAGTGTCCTCTAGTCATGTGACCTTGCTCCTTGACAAAGAATTGATTCGGATCCACATTGGTTTTTCCTGTCAACATCTTGTAGGTTTCTATCATATCTCCACGCCTGTACCTTTCCTCAATACTGATGAGCTGCAAAATTTTCAACCTTTCTTCATATGTTTTGTCCCGTAGTCCTTGCACGAGCTTTGTAGCCCTTCTTTGCGCCTTTTCCAGCATCTTTAGGTCTCTCTTCATGTATGGCCCTGTTGCTTGTAGACAATGTTCCAAGTGAGGTCTGATATAAGTTGTGAATAATGGCTTGAAATTTTCAACTGTTAATCTGTCAAATGATATCCGCAGCAGCCTCAAGGCTCCCATAGCCTTGTTAGCCACCCTTGCGCAGTTGACAGAGGCCGTTAAAGTATTGGACACGAAAACTCCCAGGTCCTTCTCCAATTCAGTTGCTTCAATCTCCATGTTACCACCATTTGTTTGCTTCATGTAATACTTTACCATTGGATTTTGCCGGCCACAGTGCATAACTTTGCACTTACTTACATTAAATTTGAGCAACCATTTCTCCGACCATTTTGACAAAACATCCAAGTCTTCTTGTATTTGCAATGCGTCTGCTTCAGTTGATGCCTTTCCAAACAGTTTCGAGTCATCCGCATACATTTTCATTGTGCTTTTCACCAGGTCGGGGAGCTCATTTACATACAGGGCAAACAAAACGGGCCCCAGCACCGAACCTTGGGGAACGCCACTTGTAATTTCAGCCCATTCGGAATAACAATTCTGGACAAAAACCCTTTGCGTTCTGTTATGAAGGAACTCATTTATCCACTTCAAGACATTTCCGGTTATGTTGTAACCAGCCAGCTTCTTGATAAGCCGTTTGTGTGGTACAGTATCGAAGGCTTTACTATAATCCAGATAAATCACATCCATTCCTTCGCCCTCATCTTGCATCTTAGTCCACTCCTCAAAAGTTTCGAGTAGATTGGTCTGGCAGGATCGCCTGGGTACAAAACCATGCTGGTGTACTGATAGCGATCCAGCTTCCACTATATGCTGCATGATGCGTTTCTTGATTATCCTCTCCATAACCTTTCCTGTTTGGCTCGTCAAACTAATAGGCCTGTAGTTACTGGGAGATGACTTTTTACCCTTCTTGAAAAGTGGTATCACTGTAGCACTCTTCCAGTCATGCGGTATCTCCCCTGCACTGAGGGACTTCTTATAGGTAGTGAAAGGCAATCAAGGAATTGATTCACTTTAAACAGATAATCATAATATTGATTCCCCATCAGCTGGCTAATCATTATTTTGATTCACAGGTAATGTTAACAGATAGGCAACAATTACTTGGAAGAATACAGCATTTATCTTGCTATTATTCTCATTTAGTGGTATCCTCAGTACCACAACAGATACCTATAGCACTGTTGTACTTTACCTTCACTACATTTGATAACAATTGTTCCTACGCCTATGGACCAGACGGCTCATAAAGAAGTGATTTTCACGAGTGCTGTTCACGGGCACCTGCCGTAGCTGCAGCTCGGTGTTTAGGTACCCGTGGCCATAGATCCCGCGGCTGACCGCCGAGCCGCAGCTACCGCAGGTCCCCGTCAACAGGGCCACGGTCTTTTTTTTTAGAAGTTACACCTGCATATCTGCACGCCATCTCATCATCATGCTGGCTGACTACAGTGCCTCGGCATGCATCAGTATCTCTCGCTATCTTCAACACAACCCAAATCAAAATAGTTTATCCTACTAACGCACTTCACACACCCTAATATCGTGCTCTTTAGACGCATTCGGTATCGCAGAGGCAGACGTAGATTACACTGGGTCCCTCAGGAACTCCTCGGGAACGTCAGGAAGAGGTGCAGGGATACTGGATCCGGCACCCCTGCCACTCGTACCACCGGGGCTCGGCGGCTCGGCACACGCAGCAGATGTCGGCCCGCTCAAGGACACCGCGAAAGTTTGTCAGTGTGGCTCTCCACAGTTCAAAAATCGGGGTTCACACTGATAAGTTGCAATAGGGACTCCGGGGCGGTGAAGCGAAGTTTAGGTTTTCTAGAGCACATCAAGTTGCTACATGCATCAACCTTGATGTGCCATCAAGCTCGCTCATGTAGCCAGCTGCCAGTAACAGACAGACCCAACCAGGGGAGTGGGCTTCCTAAAGCGCGGAAGTCGCGAATGGGCGAGAACCTAGTATGCGACACTTTATCACAATGCACATCAGCGCAAAATGGGATGTTCAGGTCTCTTTGGTCGAGGTAAAACCTAGCATGCAGCAACTTGTCACATGCTGTGTTTTTCTTTGTCAAACCGAAGACGCCACTGGACTTGCTATATTCTACCCCTTTAATATCTCAGTTTTGGAGAAAGTTATGAAAAAAGCGATACCAGAAACGAATCCGTCGTTCCCGAAAACCCCCGTTAGCATCTCTAACTCATTTTTGTTTACATTGGCGCTTACTATGTTTTTCCTTGACACGGTAGACATGCCATTATTTCGCCAGATTTGCCTTTGGGAAGCCGGACTTCCGAACATACTTCCACCAATTGCCGACTGCGGATATTCCCAATCTCAATATACCTACCCTGGTTCCCACCAACCCCGCCCCATTCCCGCCAGTGCTTCCATCCTCAGCGAGCTCTTCGTCAATCTGCTGCTGGCAGTCAAACATTCGGCCGTGCCGGATATGTTGCCCTGGCAGCCGATTCGCCGAACGGGGCCACGGGCCATGTAATGCTACAATAAAATGAATGTAAAGGAAGGCTTCACAGACATGTAACCTCCTGAGGCCCATAATTCGGGACGGGAGAGGTGTATGCGTTTACACTAGTTCGCATTATAATGAATGAGCTAGCGAAGTAGATGCCATCTAGGACCGGAAGCTGGACTGTGTCGCTCTTTCTTTCCAGTACCCCATTTACTTGAGGCCTTTGCAAAGCCCCAAGACTTAGCTCGCACTTTCTCACAGCGCACGAACACATTTTCTAGCGTTTTATTTTCGCACATAATTTTACGTGAGGTCTACATGATAACACATACATAATCACCATGCACAAAGGCAGTGAGTGTGTGGAATACACAAACACCCGCCGACGGCGCTGCTGCCGGGACAGTTTCGGCGCACGTGCCACACTACTCGGCGCTTCATCGCTGCACGAATCGCACTCTTGCTGCCCGGCTAACATCGCTCTGCACGCTCGCGCACGAAGGCAGAGAAAATGCGCGAAACACGCACCTGACGCACCCTTCGGACGAACACGACAGGCGACGCATGGACCAGGCGGGTCTGCGAAGGGGACTGAACACATACACACATATATCGACGAAGTCGGGAGTTCAAACTCACTCTGCTCCCGGCGCGCCCTTGTTCGTTCTCGTCCAGTTGAGGTATCCACAGTCTCATGCACGTCGATTCCGAAGAAAACTTGGAAACGATAAAAGTAAAGACCGAACTTGTTGTACAACGAGCATTTCGGAAGTCCGTACGTAAAAGAACACAAGCGAGAAGCTACTCAAGAGTTATTGTCTCATTAAGTACTGAACTAACAGCTGAAATCCTTTGGTCCCCGACAGGTCCAAACTATTCTATTCACGGCAACACGATACTAAAGGACTGCCGGACGATCGTGAAAGCAACGCGGTAAAAGTACGCCATAAAACCAGATCATGCGTGTCTACTACGGTACCTTGCTTCTTCGATAGACATACAATCATCAGGCTCAAATAAACAGACACGCTCTCAGCCGGCAACTATGCTAAAATCGTCCCAAAATATGAAGAAGTGCAAATGCTCGCTGACGAAATTTGGGCTACAGAACCATAACATTTTAATTTGCAAGCAAGAAATGTGTAACATCGTATTTCGTTAACAGTTTAATTTTCTAAAAGCCTGAAAACTGCCTTGCCAAACCTGTCAGCCAGGCTGCCAAATCCCAGTCTAATGCCAGATAACTTGATCACTGTTTGGACATTGGATATGCGCCCGCTTCACTGGCAGTGGAAGCTGCGGCGGCGCTAGCTCTAACAGTTAATATGGGAAACCACACAACGGCTGAAGCTGACACCACCGGACGCCGGCTTATCCTATCGCGGTCGCTCTACTCGCTCTCACACCAGCAGCCAACTGAGACGTTGTACTTAGCTAAGCATCGGGCGCGCGCCACCGACCGCCTGCGCTGCGCGTGTCGCGGTGTGCGGTGCGAGCCCTCCTGTGCGCCGGGTGGCGGTGCGCGGCCGGGCCGCCCGTCCGCGGCCACCTGCCGGCGCCGCCGGCCGCCGCGCGCCACTCCGACCAGCGCCGGGCCGGCCCCGGAGACGGTCCCTGGCCCGGCTCCGGCGGCGGCCCAATGTCTCGCGAGGGCCCCGGCGCGGGCGCGGGCCACGGCGGCGCCCTGTGGAGATCTGCGGCCGGTCGGCACGGGCTGGGCGGCACCGGAGCGGCGGGCGGCCCCGCGCGCCACCCAGCGCACGCCTGCTAGTTGGGACGACGTTGAGACACTATCTCGATGTATTCCTGGAACGGATGGCTGGGTCAGTGACCTTTGGTGGGGAGCCGGCTGAGAATAACTGCACTCAGCTGTCACTAAAAACAACGAAACGACCCGAGTTTAATTGCTTTTCGACTGAAGACCGACCAACAAAGCGCAGCTGCGGCGCGCCCAGCATTTCGCCGAAAACTGTTGAAGACGACAAACACTCAAGCACAAGATCTTAAGTTCGTAGTCTTATAGCCGGTAGGTATGACCAGCGAATTGCGGTCATTAAAAATATCTGTCAATTTAAGTTTAACAGAGTATTTAACAATGGATAAAAAGGACCACAGAGACTGAATTACTAAATAAGATTCTACATAATACACAACTCAAAGCGGAGCCGAGCAGTCGCCGGGCGGTGTTTCTGACTCACATCGTATCCCATGCCGAGCTTGCAGCTCTGGTAGCGGGTGAGTTTGATGCTCTGTCGCACCTCCTCCGTGATGGCGCCCCTCCAGCCGCCCTTGTTCAGCAGGGAGTCGATGGTGCGCACGTGGTCCCAGCCTGGAGCGCACAGAGAGTCAGTCAGGTCGGTGGGTGTGTCAGGTGGCGGAACAGCGACAATGTTAGGAACGGAAATTGAAAGGCATAAAAAGCTACAGCATGTTCTTTCGTTAATTTCTTGCTAAACATCCTGCGATGACGATTTAATACATAACGAAGAAACTGTCTGACGTGTTACATTAAGCGTACTCCAGTAAACGATAAAAACCAAAGCAGCTAAACGATATGTCTTCGCCGCTCCGCACACGTCTCCACCCCAAATAAACATTCACCACCCTTTTACAAGTCTGTGCTGCTTACCTCAACTACATCCCCAAACAACTCTATCCTCGGCCCAGCTCGCCGGTCCTTTGGCGGCGCGTCTCACCCTGATCGGGCGCCACCTCCGGCAGGTAGGTGGAGGTGCGCCGTCGGCCGGCGCACACAAACTCTATCCGAATGCCGTGCTTGCCCAGCTCCCAGTCTCGGTAATCGCGCGCCGGCTCAAAGTTGGTCAGCAGCGACACGTTCAGGTGCAGGCGCGGCATCTCGTCGCGGGTGATCGGCTGGAACCGACGGTCTCGAAACGCGCTGCCGGGGAGAGGTGCAGAGGTCAGCGGGGTGGGTGATTGCCGCTACAAATACGTAACTTAGAAAAATATCGAGCCGGAGTATGTACCTATATACTATATACAGAAGGGGAGCATCGCCGTTCGGCGATGAAATGACAAGCAAATGTTCCAAAAACACTAAATCATTTGCAAAAACGGATTCCGATCGTTAAAAGCACACTATTCACATAACTAGCAGTAGCTCTACCCAATGCCAAAGTATCACGCACCTTCTTTTCAGCTATCCAGCTCACCTAGTGAGAGCGTAATCCTTGAGGCCGGTATGAAGGTCCATCGAGTCGAAGGTGCCGATACAGCCCCGCAGGCGTCGGTCGCGACCGATCTGCCACGTCACGAACAGCGGACTGCCGAGCGAGAGGGGACACGGTCGGAAAAAGGTGAGAAAATGGTTGACAAGCTGCCGAGCGACAGGAGCGACGGAAAAAAGAACGAGGTGACAAACGGCTTACGGCAATGTCAATACCACAGTCGGCAAGGCTTTAGTTCCAATCTTAATATGGAAAGATGTAAATTCAAATGTGTCCGAAAATCATATCGGATTTTGTGAGTGTTACGCAGAGATATTTACAAGAGCACCAGTCCAACCAAAGCGATTGCATGATGACTTGATAAGTCAGCACATAATGCATACGTTTTTTTTTTGCAGAGAAATGTCGAAACAAGCCTACGTCAGCCCATATATTTTCTAAAATATTCCCGAGAGAAAAATGCGAGGCATTATCGCCGAGGTGCTAGCTAAATGTTGCGTAAATATTCACCATCCCTCATTAGAAGCATACCCAGTTAATCATATGAACTAGGAAATGAACTTACTAAGAGTCATTTGGGAAGTTCGGCGTCGGGGGCGAGTCATTGTGCAGAGAAGCGTAAAGGACATCGAAGCAGTAGACACACATTTCCTTGGTGACTGCCGAGCGGTTTTCATGGTAGCCGTTACAGGCCATTCCCGAATTCATCTTCTGCTTCTTTGTCCCACAGCAGCTGGTGGACATCATCACTGAAAGACCTGGAACAAATTGGCGACACCTTCAAACAGGGGACAGCTGTCCATAGGTAGAAGCTACAGTGCTAACAAAGCGAGTTATGCAGGTGAGATAGACAGCATTCTTTTTATGGTTTGTCTACATCAGACTCCAAAATGCTGTGATCACAGCCAAGGTAATAAAAGATTCCTGCATATAATTAAGACCTGTAAATTTAAAGTACCTATCTAATTGTCTCAGCAAAGACAATAGTATTCAGTGTGCCTTATCCATTCCCTGCTACTGAATTGTAAAGATAACATAGAAATACAAAATGAGGACATGGAAATGTCATTCCCATCATGTTATAGTGGCAAAGGTGATACAAATATACGGGCTAAATGTTCATAATCACAATGAGACAATGAAGTTGTTTTGAAAACGCTTTTTCTGCTATGAGCTAATGACCCTAAATAATACATCAGAAAGCACAGCAGTGAGCAGCATCAATGTCAGGTCTCAGGAGCTACTGATCTTATTGCACTGTTAAGTAAAATTCAATTTATGATAGCAGATTCCTTCAAGCTCATCAATGAAAAGCCTGAAATGAACAAAAGAAATGAACAAACTGAGGTTCACAAGCAGAATGAAATTTCATCAATGCTTTAGTGTTTTAAAAGTTCTGCCATCATCAAATAAAAAGACTAGCAATAGACATCTTTAGGCATTAGAAGAGCAGGTGTCACATGGAGGTTTTATAACCAAAGAGAGGTACTGTAGATTTGTAGGTTTATAGGTTGTGGGTTGTAGGATAGGTTAGGTTAGGTCAGGTCAGTTCAGGTCAGGTCAGGTCCAGTTAGGTTTGTTTTGGTTTGGTTAGAAAGAAGCATCACTGAGTATAGTGCCTCTTCTTTGTTAAAAACATTTCTGTAACGTCTGCAGCTCTACCAATAACCATCTTTGTTACCTAGGTAACAAAGATGGTTACATTACAAGCAATTGCCAATACCGACACCATTAATGACCGACTATTCTACAGACATCAATAAAGTTAAAAACAATACCTTTTTTATGACCAAGCTCAGGACTAAAAATGAAAAATAAGGAAAATAATGATGGGGTTGATTTAAGGACATATGAAAGACAAAGAGACACACCAACACAAAGGAATGGGACAAAGAAAAAAGATAAACAGAGTAACTCAGAGTAACTCAAACTTCTGATTGCAATTCAGTGCAAAGCATCCAACAATTCGGTTTGATGTTAGCATAGAAATAAATTGCTAATGTCAATATAATCAGTGCAACATCAAGCAAGATCCACGCAAGACGAACCTGACAAAAAATTGCAAAATGGAAATGAAAATAAAGCTGCTTCTTCTCCCAGATGTTCTGTCAGCATGAAATCTTGAGATGTTGAAAAATTAACAGAATCATCTATGGAATTCACTGTAAATATTCATCTAAATGTTGGTCTCCAATCGGAGACCTAGAAGTCAAGAAAAATGTAAGAGAAAACTCGTCAACACACCACCCACTTGATTCTCCACCTCGGTAGAAGCGGGTAGAATGTCCCTGCGGGGCAGTAGACTTTCTACCGTTGTCATATTTCTACAAACATGACGTTTATTTTTATTTGGTTTTTGATTTGAAAAGTTTGAGCAACAATCAAACAAACAATAGCTCCTTTTCACCCTCATCGTTGTCATATTAACAGCTACACATGATTAAATTATCTTTTACGATCTATAAGCAATCACTGTTTAGTATTGACGTCAGTAAAAATAATAAATCGAAATGGCTAGTTTGCTTCATAAATGACGCGTTTCGGACAAACATAATGCTGTTTGATACGTTTTTTATTAAGGTAAAAAAGAAATTAAATGACGTATTATATTGCAAATAAACATTTATTTCCTTTATATTTAAAGATAATTCTTGTTTAAAATTTTGACTTTGATGATTCACACAAAATAAGTTTACAATTAGGAATCGTATGGATACTGCTGGCCCAAAAAGTACAATATTGAACATTTGACGTCATTTCTACCGTAAAAAATCAAATAACAAACGGAGATCAAGCCTAGGATTTCATGGGGGATTTAGGCCTTCCGTTCATAGAGCCCTCGCTATTTTCGATCTTTCTGAAAATTGGGTTGCGCCCAAATGATCCTCTCGATCCTCTCCCTTTCCACGCGTTACGCCGGCTGCTTGAGGAGTGCCATCAAAATGCAGCGTTCGATTTCTACCGTTATCAAGGGGCCTTTCAACTTCGTTGAGAACGCACGATGCGAACCAGTTGACAAATTCAACGACGTCGATAATCTGGAGCCATCCTCGGGGAAGGTCTTGCATAAGTTTGGAAGTTCCGGAGCCAACGAAGTGAACCGGGCTGTCGAGGCTGCTAAGAATGCTTATGAAGAATGGAGCAAAGTAAGTGGACCCTTGCAGTGGGTTGCATGGGCGGGCCATACTATTTTCTGTCCAAAACGCCAGCTAGCTCCGCATGGTGGTGCTAGCAAAGCTTGTTATATATCAATACCAGAGACGAATAACTTAATATCCATCTTTTAATGTTTCTATGAGTGCCATTGTACGTGTTCATGTTCATTTCGTACCGTGTTTATATCAATAAATAACATAGCTGTCGTACATCGCCAGCTGGCCAGCCAGCTGATTTTATCCAGTTGTTAGTAAGGCCAGCCTGGGCCCTTATCTTGAGACCAATTTGAAGATTGGTGTTCTGTTATGGAATAATCATATGTGAGGCCTTGCATGAATCTCTGTTTGCTAATTCTTCCATTGTTAACTTTTTGTTCTATGGTTGCAGCTGACTGCTGGTGAAAGAGGTGTTTTTCTGAAGAAGGCTGCCAACATAATAGAGAGCAATGTGGAAGCTATTGCCAAGATGGAGGTTCAAGACTCAGGAAAACCTATTTGGGAGGCCAGGATTGATGTGCAGTCTGTGGCAGACACACTTAATTATTTTGCTTCCGTGGTCCCAGAAGCTATGAAGGGTAAATTGTAGCTTAAAGTGTGGCTCAAAATCATGTGTATGGTGATTGGGATTGAGTAGGTGTTAAGGATATAGCTGCATGCTTAGTTTATACAATCCCATACAGCTAAATACTGACACTGCTTGTGTGATAGATGAAACATTTGCTTGAATATGGCTTCACTTCAGTGCATCAGAAATCACAACATTTTATGCATTGAAATTTGAAAGCTGGATTATCTGACAAGGTGGCCTGATTTCTGTTCCAGGAACCTACAGTCCTCAGCCAGGTGGCTCATATGCCCTTGTCCAGAGGGAGCCTGTGGGAGTTTGTGTGGGAGTTGGAGCCTGGAACTATCCCATCCAGACCTGTGTCTGGAAGGTGAGTGAGCAGCAGCCATTGGTTGTTTTACTGTGGCACCTTTTCTTCTTTACCTCAGTTTTCAGTTTTGTTTATCTTCTGTGAGCAGCTTTAAAGATTGTAGATTGCTTTGATTTTTTGAATAAGTAAAGCTTTGGTTTACTAAGATTAAATGTGAAACTTTCTTTTATTCAGTCTTATTGGCTCCTAGAACTTCTGACAACCCTATGATTCTATCTAAGACACGACACACAATCATGAAGCATCTGCCTGCCGAATGCGCCCCTAACTGACCCGGCCCTCGTCGTGTGACCCTGCCCCTGCCGTGACCGCAGACGGCGCCGGCTCTGGCCTGCGGTAACACGTTCGTGTACAAGCCGTCGCCGCTGACCCCGGTCACCGCAGTGGTGCTGGGAGAGGCGCTGGCCGCCGCCGGAGTTCCATCAGGAGTCTATGGTGTGGTCCAGGTCAGTGGGATGCATTCACCGAGTAATCGGGTGGAAAGGTGCGGCGCTGGACATAGTAAGGGCTGCATTCTCCGATGTAAGTTCGCAATACGGTGCTTTTACCGATAAGCGGAAGTGTAATAATAAGTTATCATACCGTGCACCAGCCGTTAGTACCTTAGGTCCCTCAAATTTCACTGATAACCAATGTAGTTCATACCACTTTGGTACTCTAAGAGCATCTTTATCATAAAATATCTGATTTGACTGTTGACATAGGTCGCCCGCCCTAAATGCACTGACCGAACACGAAGTCATCGTAACCCTGACCGCCAATACCCGTTCACAGGGCGAGGGGGAGACGGGCCATCTGCTCTGCTCGCACCCCGACGTGGCCAAGGTCTCCTTCACCGGCTCCGTGCCGACCGGCAGCAAAATCATGACAGACGCCGCGGCATCCATCAAAAAGGTTCGTGCTCATCGGGCTTGGATATAGCTGGGAGCGCCGCTGAAGTTGTTAATAGGGTTGGTGGTAGCAACCGAATGGGGAGTCCAGATTGCGATAGGGTTGAGAGGGGTTCCACAAAAACACCAATGATCTTTTTTCCACCCTCGCGCTCGGCCGCAAGGCGGTGAATAATGCATTCGTTTCGTAACTCTGACAATGTACAAAACCTTTAAACGAAATCCATAATAGTCTATCCTCTGGACCATCCCAGGTATGAGCTCTGTTTCATTCCATTCTGACACGCCGCCGGACACTCCGCTGTCGCCGACCAGACACCGCCACTCCAGTGTCATAAATCAGAGACACATTCCGAGCTGAGTCCCGCCAGACGCCCAATTACTGTAGCTGCAGTGTCCTGGTCAGAGGGCATACAGCGTAGGGTTCTGGTCGGCGGGCAGAGTCCATTACTGCCACATACAGCGGGTACCATGCGTCATATGTGTGACCAAGGCCACACAGGCGGTAACTGTGAATAGCCGAGAAACAGCGGAAAGGGACTGCTGAATGATGCGGAGTCATAACTCATAAGGTTTATTATTTTGGTCAAATTTAATCGATAGTCTTTCAAGCATGTTCCAAGCGTTTTCTCGTGGTGCTTTGGGCAGTCATGAATGTACCGGGGACTCCATAGTCCATGATGCACAGTTTTCAATTCAAATGTCAATTAGATAGATCGATTTTCACTATTGTAGGCGATTTGCGACGCACAATAAAATCAAACCTTTAAAATGTTTAGCAATTCCCAGCCTTCCGTTAATGTTTCTCAGAACCCAGCTACCTAGCCCAAACACTCGGAGACCTGACTATCGAGTCTGCGTCCGTCTAACCTGGCTCTCCTCATGCCATTCCGCCAGGTCACCATGGAGCTGGGAGGTAAGTCGCCTCTAATCATCTTCGAGGACGCCGACATCGCCAACGCCGTCAGAGGAGCTATGCTGGCCAACTTCCTCTCCCAGGGACAGGTGAGCACAGTCAGGATTTGGTTCATTTGTGGCATTCACAGTAGTCAAAATTGTCCTATGGAAAGCAGTCTCGACGTTTCCCATTGACCGTTTAATTTGGATACGCCGTGCAAAGGAAAAATGAGTCATAACAACAGGTTTTACGCCGAAGACTCGGTAGTGGAGCTTCCAAAAGCTTCACTTCTATCAATGTACGACACCCGACACTAACTGGCCAGCAGGACAATATCTCTGGAGCCCGTTGTCGGCCTTTGCCTCGGGTCTGTGTTACGGTCCACAGCCAGACCTGCGCCACATGTGTTGCCTCTCACAACACATATAAACACTTGGCCGAGTGTAAACAAAGGCTAGATGGTGTCCGAGCGACCGCCCACCACAGGCCTAGGAACACTGGACCCGCTTATAGGATAATGTAACCATGTTTGGCGACCGGCTGTAGGAGTATGGGAACCCTAATAAGAAATATTTTGTTATTGTGATTTTTTCGATGTTCCCCGATTTTCGTGTGCGCAGGTCTGTAACAATGGCACTCGGGTGTTCGTGCACAAGTCGATCAAAGAAAAGTTCACCGCCGCCCTGGTGGAGGCGTGTAAGAAGCTCAGGGTCGGCGACCCGATGCTAGATGACACCACCGTCGGCGCCACCGTCTGCAGGCAGCAGTTCGACAAGGTGCTCGGCTTCATCGAACGCGCCAAGAAAGAGGTAAATGACGTACGATGTTCGTCGAAACATGAAGTATTGATTATATGATCAAATTATGATGTGAATGATTGGAAGGGGACCGAGAAACCAGGTGTGGTTAGGTCTGGCGGATAAGGGGACACGGAGCCGAAACTGCGATGGTTTAGTGCGCCCGCTCTTTTGTGGTGATCCGACCAAGATCCGACCGGTACCTACGTCTCTCGTGTCGTGCAGGATGGTTTCGTACCCTCGGGCTAGAGAGGTGGTGGTGTGACCTGAGCTGAAGTTTCTGGGCGGTGGGGTGTTTTGCGGCTTGCGGTTTGTATGAGATGACTTGACACGTCTCTTGCGTCCCTCCCCGAGGGCGCTATAAGGTGTAATGCGGCGGTAAGCAGGTGACCTGACCCTTCCCCTCCCTCCTCCCAGGGCGGTAAGGTGCTGTGCGGCGGTGATCAGGTGACCTGACCCTTCCCCACCCTCCTCCCAGGGCGCTATAAGGTGTAATGCGGCGGTGATCAGGTGACCTGACAATTCTTCTCCCTCAGGGCGGTAAGATTCTATGCGGCGGCGAGCAGGTGACCCTGCCTGGTGACCTGTCGGGCG